GTATGATCATCATCATCATCACTTGACCATGAGGTGGAGCAATCTTCTACAATCACCGAATTGTGGCTATGCTCAACGTCCTCATGTGCCTCCTCCTTGGGCTCATCATCATCATCATCATCGGAGACCGTCCCATACTTCTCATTGAGATGAATCCAAATCTCATGAGCGGTCTTCATGTTAATGATCTCTCCAAATATGCAATCATCCAAAGATCTATACATGATATTAGTAGCTTGGATGTCGAGATCTAGGCATTTCTCTTGTGCTTGAGTTAGATTCTCTTCATCCAACATATGAGAAAAGCCTACATCTACCATCCACCACATTTGAGGGTAAATAAACTTAAAATTGCATATCATCTAATTTTTCCACCGTGCAAAGTGTTTGCCATAAACAATGCGTGGACAATCAACATCAAGCCCATAAGTCGTCATCCTCTTGGGTCGGTGAAGACCACAAATGAGAGACCTTGCTCCGATACCACATGTAGGGTCGAGATGGCGGACTAGAGGGGGGTGAATAGCCCTTTCAAAAATTAAACGCGTCGGCTAACCGAGATAAATGTGGAATTAAAACTAACAGTCTAGCCAAGACTACACCCCTCTATCTAAGTTCACAAGCACCTTATAAAGATCCTAATTAGGCAATAAAGGTGCTAGGCTAGTTAGAGCTCACCTAATCAATTCTAGAGCAAGGTCACACAAACCTATGCACTAGTACTTTGCACAACCGGGGGAGCTCCTTCACAATCTAGTAAGCAAAAGCACAAAGCTCCTATGCTCACTAGCAATGCTCAATAACAAGAAAACTAATGTCAAATTAGAGAGCGCAAATTACTTAGCTACACAAACTAAGCAATGTGACTAACAAGGTTACTGAAACCAAAATAGTCATGCAAGGTAGCTACTTCTATGCTACACAAGCTAACTAAATACAAGAGCAACTACACAAGCACAATGTAAGTGAAGTAAATACAAGCCTGTGTAACGAGGATGCAAACCAACAGGAAAACAAGGATGACATAGTGATTTCTATCCTGAGGTTTACATGCTTGCCAACACGCTAGTCCCCGTTGAGACAAGCTCCAAGGTTGTCGTTGGTCCTCTTGCTAGTGGTGACCTGCAAGTCACACTCTCCCACGTGGAGTGCTTACCACAAGCTCTAGCACTTGACCTGGCCAGATCACTTGTCGCCCTTCGTGTGTTGCTCTACTAGAGTTGCTCTTCGCGGCTTCCTCGGGGTGAGCACAATCCCCCTCACAATCACTTCTCTGGAGCACCACACAATCTTCTTTGCGTGCTTCGACGGAGACCACCACTAAGCCATCTAGGAGGCGGCAACCTCCAAGAGTAACAAGCACCACCGGCTTACAACTCAATCACCTAGTGCCACTCGATGCAATCTCACAATGCAACGCACTAAAATCACTTACTCGCAATAGATTCGCACTTCTCGCAAGCACATGTGAGTTAGAGGCTTATCAAACCAAGCACACACAAGGGCAACACATCCCCAAGGTTCTCAACAAGCCAAATGCCTAAGCTCCACCTCTATTTATATCCTCCAAGCAAAATAGAGCCGTTGAAGCAAAGATCCCTTTTCTACGAGGGCACTAGACACGACAGTGGTGGCACCGCCCTAGGGGTGGCGGTGCCCCTTCAACGGTCACATAATGGCTAGGTTGATTGGTCATGAGCACCGGACAGGGGTGGTGGTGGCACTACCCTAGGGGTGGCGGTGACCACCAGCCAGTCACCCAAAATACCCCTCTAGAAAATAGTGGCGGTGGCACCGAACACAGGGTGGCAGTGCCCTTTCCAGTGACCAACCCCACTCGGCAGCTCTTGGGAATAAAGGGGCGGTGCCCACGGCGACTTATCGGACACACCCTGGTGGTGCACCACCGTCCCAGGGGCGGTGCCAGCCCTAGCACCAGCTCATCTTGGCCTCGTCCTAACACGTATGCAACGTTAGATCGCTGAAGTGGCACTAGATGACCGATAGGTAAACAAGTTTGCTCCTCTTAATAGTATGGCCATCTATCCTAAACCCGGTCATGCACTTCTCTACACAACCTTTGACCGGTGAAATGAAATGCCCTAGGTTATACCTTTGCCTTGCGCATTCCATTCTATCTCCTTCTATGTTGATGCAACACATGCACCAACCAATCACCAAACGATATGATCCACTTCGTATCATCACATGATCATATTGGTTCATCGATCTTGACTTCACTTGCTCTTCACCGTTGCCTTGGTCCATCGTCGCCAAGTCATCACTCAACTTGCCCTTTCACACTTGCAACCGGTCCGTCGAGCCAAGTCTTGTCTTGATCTTCTCCACCTTGATCACATGACTCCATGTCATGTCTCATATGAAATGAGCTCCTTCATCACATGTGTGAGCCTTGCAACAAATCCAAGCCATTTTCACCTCCATGGCATATGTTGCTCACACACATGTACCTATGGACCAATCACATGCGTATCTCACATAAACACAATTAGTCAACCTAGTTTGTCACTCAATTACTAAAACCAAACAAGGACCTTTCAACTGCAGCCATTTTATACGTGGAACATTTGTATGGATGGCTGGTGATTAAGCCGCCCCTATAAATCGCAACAGTGGGAGTGGCTGGTCATAGTCGCCCCTACAAATCAAATAGTAGGGGCCGCTCATGAATGAGATGCCCCTACAAATGGATCAACCCATTTGTAGGGGCGGCTCATATCACCAGCCACCCCTGCTGTGCCATTTGTAGGAACGGCTGGTTTCGTAGGTCCCGAGCACACCCACTGTAGGGGCAGCTCCATCACCAGCCGCCCCTACAAAAAAAATTGAGCCGTTGCTATAAACATTTTCTGTAGTAGTGATGGCTATTTATAACATGACAACAATGTATCAAATCGAGTGCTCACCAACGCCGATCAGCAGAGCGAACAACCACTTGAGCACAACGTAGCAGGGCACCCAGAACTTGCTCCGCTCACTACAAAAAGACCGAGCATCAGTGATAAAATGTGGTGGCGAAAGCTTAATTTGTCACTGATTCCCATGTTATTAGTGACCAAACTAATTTTCATCACTATTGCGTCGATTATTAGTGGCAAACTACTATATCGCCACAGGATGCACCTTCAGTGGCGAATTTAGTGATGAAACATTAATTTGTCACTAATAAATAGGTTAATTGTGACTAAATATTTATTTTCTCATAGTTTTGCCATCTATCTGTGACATAATATTATATCGCCACAGGTTCAAGGTCAGTGAGAAAATGTCGTGGCAAAATTGTATTTTGCCACTATTTACCATCTTAATTGTGACTAAACCATTTCCCCCACTATTAGTACGTTTATCTGTGACAAAATTTTGCATCGCCACATGGTACCTAGAAATTTTTGTGGCAAAGGCCTTGTTCGCTTATCTTATAATCCGTACTTTTTAGCTTGTTTTTTCAGCCAGAATAGTATTTTTCTCTCATAATAAATTAGCTGGAACAATGTTTCGGCTTGTTTTTTCAGCGAAGCGAACGGGGCCAAAATATTCTTTTGTCACTAGTTACCAAGTCAATTGTGAGCAAAGAAATTTTCTTGTTGCATAATATTTCTATTAGTGTTAAAAACATGTGTTCCGTATGATAAATAATTAGTGGCAAATATTGTATTATCATGGGTCCCACTTGTCAGTCAAACTCCACCTTATCTTCTTCCGTTTTCTGCAGCTGCAATTACTGGACGGAGCATCGCCGCCCCCAAGCTCAGAGCTCCGCCAAGCGCAGACGAGCTCGCCCATAGTCGCTGGCCATCGATGCCCTTGCCCATGCCTCCACCGAAGCTCGCACATGCAGCGCTTAGCAAGCTCGCCCACGGCCGCAGCCGCCTATCTCGATGAGTGTCTCCGGCCGCCCCCAGCTCGATGCTTCTGCTCCGCGCCGACGAGCTCGCCCATGGTCTCCGGCCATCCCTGCTCCCAGCTGGATCCACCGAATCTCGCCTCGCACTCGACGAGCTCGCCCACGGTCGCCGCCGTCAATCTCGATGAGCTCGCAAAAGGTCGGATTTGCTGCGTCCCTGGCCGCGGCCATCTGCGCGCGAGGAGGAAGACGCCGAGCCGCTTGCTCGCACCGTACTGTGAGCCGGGTATGGTCATCTTGCGGTTGTCAACACGGGCAGGCATGCGGGCAGCTCGCTAAGGCGTGTGGCAGGTGGCCGCATTTGGCAGGCGGTCGTAGCTCGGGCGTGTCCATAGTGGAGCTCTGGAGCTTCAGGGCTACCTGTGCAGCTAGCGACTCGTGTGGCCAGGGGCCTAACACGGCGGCTCATCCGAGGTCATAGGATTGGATAGTAAGCAATGTTGCTCTCCAGTTTAGATTATTTGATCAATTCACCATATTTGTCTATTCGATTCTCTAGAGTTTGAATGTAGGCTAGAAGCACAATCGCCAAATGCCTTAGTGATGTTTCAGTGGCATTGATTGGGCACTTGCACCTTGCTCATTGCATACGGGAGAGTTGGACCCCCTATGTTTAGTTACATGATACTAGTATATTATGTTGTAATTATGTAATTGAAGTACAAATTAGACCTCTATTATCTTAGGTTTTAGTGACTTTATGTACCAGTTAATTTGGTTGTGGGAACAAAAAGACACAAGTTTGTATTGTAGGGATCCAGAACAGAAGTAAAATTAGTGAGAACGAACAAAAGCAAGCGCAAATCCAGATGGCCATAGTAATACTTGAATTGACAATTTGTGGATGAATAGCTTGTTTATAATGAATATATATCATATTACCTAGGCTTGCAAAACTGATAAGTATTAGGAAATAAAACATAGCTGAAAATGCCAGAGTGACCATGATATCCTAAATGCTTATTTGTTTGACACTACTGTGTAGTGTTTGTAAAGCAAGTGACCAAGGACATGAAGCTGCATCTCATATATATATATTCCCTATAGAAATTTCTGCTTGATTATCAGTTATTTGCTAGTCGTCATCTATTTCTTCTTTCGGTTCACTGTCTTCGTCATCTGAATCCATGTACTCACCACCTTCGCTGTCATCACTTTTAGATTCTTGTTGCTCATCTTCATCCTCAACGTCACCCTCGTAATGGAGTATTGGATTACCTTCCACAGCCACAGGCATACCTTCAGCTTCCGCTTCTACTTGAGGTGTGTCCAATATACTTGTGTCATCATCTTCTATTGTATTTGGATTCGGCACAATTATTACTTCATTTTCTTGACAAGCTTCAGGACTGGATTTACTTGATTTAGTAGTGGCATCTTCTTTATCAGTGGGAGGAGTGTCAAAATAATCACGAGGTTTAGTCTTTACCACAACATACCATTTTGGTTCTTGAGTATCATTCACATAATATACTTGCTCTGCTTGCGAAGCCAAAACATATGGCTCATCTGTTGACAGCTTGCGAGTAGTATTTATCATTACGAACCCATACTTATCTTCTTTAACTCCCCTTGTTGTATGTACATCCCATCATTCACATTTAAAAAGAACAACTTTATGAGTCCCATATAAAAGCTCCACAATATCTGTCAAGACACCAAAGTAATCTTTGTCTCTAGTTCCTTCATCACCCTTGACAAATACTCCACTGTTTTGTGCTTGAAATAGGGCGTCTCTGTCCTTTGTGTTAAATCTCCATCCATTGACCATATAACTTGAGAAATGTGTCACTCTAGTATCGGGTCCTCTTGCTAGATCAAATAATCCATCGGAAACAGAAGGATCTCCTTTGGAATACATAGCTGATATCTACATGAAACACAGTAGTTAATTAATCTACCCTAAAGAAATAATGTAATAAATACATCCTTATACTTACATGGTTGTTGAACCACTGAAAGAACTCTTTCTCATGCCGCTTATCTACATTTCTGGTGCTCTGTGTCCTTAAATATTCCTTGTGAATGCTGTGACATAGGAGAATAGATGTTACAAAATTGAAGTCCACAGTTCAATGAACATCTTAGGAGTGGCTTACCCTGTATATGGAGCAGCCTCTTCACAGTTCTTTAGAATGTACGCTTGTGCTTTATTCAATTCATTCATCTCCATCTCACAATATCTATTTCCAATAAGTCGTCTTCCAATTTTAGAAAAAATCTGGAGCTGTGTGTTGCTATTGTTATCATCGCTGTCATCATTACGCCTTGGCCTGTTGATTCTTGTCTCAATTCCATGCAAGTACATAGAACAAAGAGTCACACATTCCTGTAACACTACAGCCTCAGCAATTGCTCCCTCTGGACGAGCTTTGTTTTTTACAAATGACTTTAGTCTGCGCAAGAATCTCTCGATGGGATACATCCATCTATATTGCACAGGACCACCTACCATTGCTTGTTGAGCTAAATGGATTGGTAGATGCATCATTACATCAAACATGGATGGAGGAAATATCTTTTCTAATTTGCAAAGAGTAATAGCAATTGAAGAATCAAGCCTTTTAAGGATCTCCACATCTAACACTTTTGAGCAAATTTCTCGAAAAAAGTTGCATAGCTCAATTATTGGAAGACAAATATCAGCTGGAAGCATGCCGCGAATAGATAGTGGAAGGTATCTATGCAGAAACACATGGTAATCATGGCACTTCATCCTTGATATTTTAACATTTATTGCATCTACATAATTAGATACCTTTGCAGAATAACCATCTGGGACTTTGATTTTTGTCAAGAACTCACAAAATGCCTTCCTTTTAGGTCCAAAAAGTGTATAAGGTGTATTGTGAAATAAATATTTTCCATCATCTGTGGGAGTCGCAAGAAGTTTTGGTTGTATTCCCATGATTTCCATATCGAATCGAGAATTAATGTTATCCTTTGTCTTCCCCTCCTGTCCAAGCAAGGTACCCACCAAACTTTCACCAACATTTTTTTCGATGTGCATGACATCTAGGTTATGTCTTAGTGTCAATTTACTCCAATAAGGGAGTTGAAAAAATATACTCTTTTTCTTCCAAACACCATACACTGTGCTGGAGCGTTTCCTTTTCTTGTCAGATTTCCCAAATATAACCTGAATGGCAGCATAATGATAGCAATGTTACACCTTTGAAATTACATCAAAATATCATAACTTGTATCATATTTATTTACAAAAGGAAAGCTGCATAGACTTAAATCTTTTTTGTATGTGTACCTGAGTAAACTTTTCATATTGTGAAAGAACTTCAGCGCCTGATAATGGTTTTGGAGCACATCTCCTTTCCCTTTGGCCATTAAAAGTAGTATTGCTCCTCCAACTGTCTTGCTGGTAGGAATCTCCTGTCCCATGTAGCAACCTTTTCTTCCATTAGCTAGCCATTGGTAGCAAGTGTCAGTATGACAGGATGGACATGCATATTTTCCCTTTGTGGACATTCCTGATAAATTCCCTAAAGCAGGAAAATCATTAGTTGTCCAAAGCAATGCAGCTTTTAGTGTGAATTTACGCTTCGTCGAAGCATCATAGGCCTCCACCCCACCCCACAACTCAATCAGCTCATCAATTAATGGCTGTAGATATACATCAATGTCATTGCCAGGTGCTTTAGGGCCAGGAATGAGCATTGAAGTTATCATATAAGGATCTTTCACGCACATCCAAGGAGGTAGGTTATACATCACAATAACAATGGGCCATATGCTGTATGATGTGCTCATATGTCCGAACGGGTTGAATCCGTCACTAGCAAGCCCAAGCCTAACACTGCGCACATCTGATGCAAATGATGGGATTTTTTCATCAAAATCCTTCCATTCCTTTGAATCTGCCGGGTGTCTCATATATCCATCATCAACTAGTTCCTCTTTGTGCCAACACATATTAGTTGCAGTTTTGGAACACATGTACATCATTTTAAATCTTGGTATCAGTGGGAAATAGCGCAACACCTTCTGTGCAACCTTTCGAACTCTTTGCCTTCGTGATTTGGATGCATTTGTCTAGTCATCACTTTTCCACCTAGAAAGCTTGCACACTGGACATGATTCAGCTTTAGCATAATCACCTCTGTACAGAATGCAATCATTTGGGCATGCGTCTATGCGCTTGTAATCCAATCCCAAATCTGACATGACTTTCTTAGCATCGTTGAATGACTTTGGAGCCTTATTCTTGGTAGGAAGTACCTTCCAAAACAGAGTAAATAGAGCATCCATTGCATTTCCACTCAAATCATATAGGCACTTGATGTTCATCATTTGCACAATGAACGATAGTGTAGAGAAGGTACTGCATTCTGGGTACAGCTCATGGTCTGCCTCTTCAAGAAGTCTATAAAATTTGCTAGCTTCTTCAGTAGGACCTGTAGATGTGGTCATGTCATCCTGCAAGCTAGGTGATGAATCATCAAATGATCCCAAGTTGGCATTCACAGCATTTCCAAAATCATTCACCATCTCATGCAGACCATATTCATCATGATCTTCCATATTGTTGAAACTGTCTTCTGAATCTGACACACTCTCTCCATGATGATCCCATACTCTATACTCTTTCCATATTCCATTCAGCATGAGATGCTCCATTATAGATATCTGATCAGCAAAGTAATTGTTTTTTGTAGATTCTACAAGGACATCGAAGGAGCTTGTCTGCACTACAGCCAGAAATATTATGGGCATTGTTTATCATTTTTTTTCACACCAAGCGCACCCTTTTACTCCTAATAATTATAATTGGTGAAAAAATGTTCCTCCAAATATCCATTTCACCTTTCCCTCCAATTAATCGGTGAAATTTTTTGACTCCTGCCATATCGCATATATATAGTCCCTTCCATCATCTACGGATCTACCAAACAATCAAAACCAATTGACGGAGAGAAACAGGCGACCAAAAAGGTGCACTGCGTACTACGACTAGTATTTCTTTTTCTTTTTTCCCCAAAGTCTTCCTCCATCCGGCCATCGTCATCATTATTAGCCACCCATGATTACTCCTGGGTCAAAGCGGCTGCCAAGGCATGTATCGCCATGGCGTAGGCCTAGATGCCTCTGCTGGCTAGCTGCCCCATGGATCCATGATGCCGATGAATCCACCACCGTGTTGATCCATCGTTGCGGCCTCCGATCCAGTTCGTCGTGGCCACCGGCGCAGCTACCACCACGGCCGCTGACGCCGCGGCCACCGCTGCCATCGCCACGGCCACGGCCACGGCCACGGCCGCCGCTGCTGCGGCCACCACCACTGCCATCGTTGCTGCCGCCGCATCTCTGCACCGCAAGAAGATGCGATACCTCCAATTCCATACTGATATCTTGATTTTCGATCTATGAATATGCATCACATCCATGCCATATTTGTGCTAGACACCAACATACAACATCCATGCTTGTAGAGTTGCAGCCCAGTCCAACTTTATATTTCTCAAATTATGTTTCTGACAGATTGTTTGTAACCTTTGTATGTCTCAAAATTTTTTTTCTTAAGATTGTTTCTTTTGGTAAGATATCCATTAATTTGATGGCTATGTTTCTCCATGAATTCCATTGCTGTTTCGCAGGGAAAATGGCTCCACGAGTGCCTCCACGGGTGCCTCGACGAACAATTGCTGAAATGGATACAAAATTTGATGAGCTTGCCTCTGCTTTATCCAAAGATCCAAGGGACCAATTGACCTCTGGTATAGGTTTATTTTATACGTTCAACACCACCAAATATTTCACTGCGTAAAAAATCTGATGTATTGTAGCATGTTGCATCAAAGGAAATTGGGAAAGCTACAATTTTCTGCAGCCTCATGTTTGTAAGACAATGTTTCTATATTGCTTCTAGTGTATAAGAAAACTTACATGATCTTTTGTTAAGATCACATGGTGTGTCTTCTAGTTATCAGTAACTCGACATATTAGTATTGATAGCGATTCCATTAATAATCTCCATGAGAACATGCAAGTTCTTGACTTCTTGTTTAGTTGAATGCACCACTACCTGTTCATAGATCTGAACTAGAGGTACTATGAACAAACACATGGGGTTTGTGTTCTTGCCGATGTCAAAAATCCTAGTTACTTGCAACTGTGTTCACTTGCATTGGTTGTGTGCTAATGGTACAATAAAAGATAGCCATTTCTGTTGTGTTTAGTTATGTAAAATTTACAAAATGACTATTTTTATTTCTATAGGTGAAATAACAACCAGGTTACGTTCACGTGGCTCTCGAACTGACAATGCACGTGATCAATTGGATTCAGATGTGGCCATGGATGAAAATAATGAAATAAATGCTGCAACACACAACACTGAAGGTGTTTTGCTAATATGAAACCTGCTTCTTTACACCATTGTTTATTTCACTGATTTAGCTAGGCTCTGTTATGCTGATCTACATTTATTTCTTTATACAACATAATAACAAGTGCTACATTTAGCATGTCACAACCTGTTATACTAATCTAAAATTTGATTCTTGACACTATAGATTACAAACATTACATTTAATTACCCTTGTTCTTTTCCCTAAATTAACTAGGCTCTGCTAAGAGTGGAAGAAAAGTTACAATTAACAATCAACTTCGCAAGACAAGAGAAAAAGGAAAGCATATTGATATAAAGTTCCCTAAAGAATTTGCAAAAGTGTGTGCAGAACATGCTAGTTTATTTAAAAGTGAGATAATAGTTCTTGTAAGAACTGTACCACTCCAAGTGAAGAAGTGGAGGGACATGGATATGTTTCATCCTGGTTCTACTACATCTATTTGGAGAAAACTAAAGGTGACCTACTTTTCATATGAAATGAATATATTTGGCATGTATAGGTTATCATTGCATTCAGTGGCTGCTTATTACAATATATCTTTGTTGTATAGTAAAAGTTTCCTGAGCTTTCAGAAGAATATAAAGATTGTGCCATGAGACAAGTAGAGAGTCAATATAATAATCGGCGTTACTATCTACTTCAAGCTTACTGAAACAAGCCAAGGCCACAACATGTCTCACCAGAAGGTTGGCAATGGTTGATAAGGAATTTGTGGAGGGATGATGATTTTCAGGTACATACAACTCATATCCTAAATTACAGTGCTGCATAATTGTTAATGATACATTTATGCAATTTGTAAACCAGAAAAGGAGCAACCAAAACTCTATCAATAGAGGAAAGCAAGCGATGGGGTCCAAAGTAGGAACTAGATCAATCGCTCAAATCGCTTACGATCTGGTGAGGAAAAAAGTTACCAGGCAATTTTTTTTCTACTACACATCGTTCTGAATTAGTGAATATATGCTTTTGTTCTTCCAATGCAGCGAGACCCAGAAACTGGTGAATGGCCTACTTCTATGTAAGTTTGAAGGGCTACATATCAAAAGGCTGATGGGACATGGTCTATTCCAATGGGTGAAGAAATAATGGTATGACCATATTACTTCCCTTTCTGATGGCATCTTTGGGTTTCACATTTGTCAATCTGTTTCCTACCTTTTGAACTTGGATTAGGTGGAAGTGGTGTGTTTTTTGTATGAAAAAGTATGGTAGTAGAATTCTGTATGACTCTTTCATGGTTATTATCTCTGCAATGTAGTTTCTGTATTGTTCATTTAATGAGTTGAAAAGTTTGGGCACTATGACATATTTGCAATATCTCTAATCATGAACAATATCGTTTTATTAAGTTGTTTGTAAATTTCATATATTATTTAATTTGTCTGCAATTTTTAATTTTCAATTATTAGATAACATGTTTGCATATTTTTTTGAACAGTAGCAACTCAGAGAACATTTGGATGTTACACTATCCTATAGCTAATTTGTGCTCATACCTATGATTTATTATTACATGAATGCTTTTGCCTGCTGTGTAGTATATGGGTTCTTAATTAGTTTGTTTTTCATGCTTTGTAGACCAAACTAAATGAAGCTGCTGGGATACATCAAGAAAAGATTTCTTCTGCGCTCGTGCCAATAGTGGAGCACTTCGCACTAGTTCTTGGTCGAAAGCCAAACCATTCACGTGGTGTTGGCATTCGTGCTATAAACCGAGTGGCCAAGGAAAGAATCAGATTGCAGGCACAAATTGAGGCTTCTGAACAGCGTGAAGCTACAGCTCGAGCACGTGCAGATGCTGCTGAGCAACGTGCTGAGGCTATTGAGCAACGTGCTGAGGCTACTGAGCAACGAGCACAAGCTTTGGAAGGCCAAGTTTCCACGGTAGTCGAAACAAATGCACAACTGCAAGAAGAGCAGCAATCCCAACGTGATGAGCTGAGTTCTTTGCGTCAAGCACAGAGTGGAGAAGTTGCTCGTCTAGTGAGAGAACAACTTGATCATCAAATGGCTGAATTAATTGCACGCATTGGTGCCTCGCAGCCTCCAGCATCTTAGAGTTTAAACACTTTAGTTGAATAATTATTGTGAGACTTTAAAGTAGTGTCAAGAGAGTTATTTTGAGGTTTAAGTGTTCTCAGTTTTATGTAATGCTTGAATACCTAATTTGAATTATTGAAATAAATATTATTGGTGCAGATTTGAGATAATCATATTGCTATAATGTATATTTGTTGAGCTATTTTTGTCACTACAACAAGGATAATAATGATAACTTAGTCGTCACAATATCTAATGTGTTTCACACAATTGAAACTTATCTTGTGACAAAACTTGTCCCGACTAATATTTTTCTACAAATGCTATGTTTTTTATGAAACTATTGATACATTTTGTCTTGTCAGTTCTCACAAAAAGATAATTTTTTGTGACAAAGGTTTACCACCTGTAGTTTACATGTGAGGATGAGTTTGCATCACAAATGAAAAGTATTTGTGTTAACAAGTTACCACTTTTTCAACAATTAGACACAATTATAATTTAATAGTGAGAACAAGCATCGACACGACAAACTCAAGTAATGGTGAAACTTCTGTCACTAATATGTAGTCTTTAGTGACCACAAAATTTGTCACTTTTACAATGGTATTTGTGACAATTATATTGCCATAGATTCTGTATAGTTGTGGCAACTATTATCACCACTAAAAACATTACGAGTGGCATCATTTTTTGCCACTAATGCATATGTTTTTGTGACAACGAATGGGCCACAAATGGACACGTTACTAGTGGCAGTATAATTTGTCACTAATGAGGATGGTCATTTGTGGGGAACAAAAATTCATCACTAGAGTATCTGTGAGGCGAGTATTTGTGGCAACTAGTGGTGATTTAAAAATTCACCACAAAGGCTGGTTTGTGGCGAAAAAATAAGCTTTTATGGTGAAAATTTTCACCACAAAAACCCTTTGCCTGCGCCTGCGCCGACCCAGCAACACAAATAACTAAGCTGACCGCACACTGAAACCACACACTCGAGAGTCGAGGGCAATAGCAGCAGATGGGCGGGGGTGGCGTGTACGTGCACCTACCGTTATGTGTAGTTCTTGATGACCTCGTAGTCGAGGCTCTCGTGTGGTAGAACCTCCTAAGAAATCGGGCCCACGTGCACCTATCGATGTCTCAACCGACCTCTAATAGCGTACACGAGTTCCCAACAACTTAATAGGTCTGTCGGGTGTCCTCGGGAAACCCAAATCATCTACGAATCTTTTTCAAACAGGATCCCAATCATAGACATTGCAGATTACAATAGTGTTCGATATACATACCAGAGATTGTAAAGCGGAAGACTTAAGTTTTAATATTACAAACCAGTTGTTTCAAACTTACAAAACCATAAGTGCCATACAACCATAGTAGCGGGATAATATCATATTAACATTATTTATTTCACACAAACTAGTGCCTTGTCCAAAGGCCATTCATCATTCCTCATCGTCATCGACTTCAAACACTGACATGCAGTAGGGACCAAAACAAGCCTGCGCATGCGACTCACTTGCAACAAGGGTTAACAAACCCTGAGTACAAAAGTACTCAACAAGACTGACCCAACGAAAAAGGGGCGAAGGTCTTAGGGATGCATGTGTTGGGTCAAGGTAAGGATGTAGCAAGATTCAAAAGTTCTTTGCCAAAAGCTTACTATTCTTAATCCTATTTTCGAGTTTTACCCCTAAGTACTTTAGTTCATTATCTCAAACTAAGTGTTCATATCCCATATTCCAATCCTTCTCATTCCATTCCTTTTTCTCAAGTGTTAGTAATTCACTAGTCCTGCATTGCTTCTGTAATGAATCGAGTCTCCATATCAGTGGAGCATCGGCAATTCAAATTGATTCAAGTCCCAGCTGGGGATTCCTTATCACACGACATATGTAGAACTTAATCTTGCATATATCAACCTCACTACCGGATCCTCCCATACTAAGCCGTCTCCACGCCACCCGAGAGCACAGCACACCTCAAATCCGACCACATTCTAGCCACAAGGATACACGCTACTCCCACCATCTCTCCACTCCCAGTGCGTGGGCATTCGTCTTAGTATCGGATTAGCCGAAGTAGGCTTACCGGAGTATGTGACCAGTACTACAAAGTGTCTTGTTCAGAAGATCCACAATGAGTGGCCTTTAAGCGACATAGTCGGCAACATTACCCAACATTCAAGATAAGTCACCCGACTAGTCTCTAGTTCATTCTATCTTCTTTCTTTCTTTGTCCAGTATGCCATCTTTGATTGTTTCGAAACTTTTGCTTTGAAAGCCTACCATAAAGCATACTAAGCAATCTACGCCTTTGTAAATGAAATCATCTTCAAGGATGGTAAACAATTAACAAGGTAGGCAATGCATCAAGTAGGTAACATTTGAATTAATCAACTTAATGGAATAAGTAACATAGGTGATAAACTTTTCAAAGTAAACAAGGTAATGGTTTAATGCATAAACCGGGGCTTGCCTTTGTTGACGATCTTGGGTTCCGGATCAGTACCACAAATTTCAAATCCCAAGACAACCGGGGATTCTTCCACAACTTGCTCAACTAGAATCGGTTCACTCTCGGATTCTACACGAAATAATAGCATATGATTCAACATGATGATAATGTAAACATGATGCTTTCATGGTGCATGAAATGTAATAACACCTTGAATACAACTTTCCTTCACGATACAGTTGTAAACCAACAAAACCAACTTTAATGACCTAGGGCTTATGACCTAAGTGACTTGACCAAATTGATTTTGAAACCCTATTGGTCACAAAACATGACAAAAACAAGATCAAACCCTAACCCAACACTTAGGGTTTGCTTTTATTCTTTTTTTGAATTAATTAGGAATTAAGCTCAAAATGAACTTGTTCCAAATGACCTCAAAATTTTATGTAAGATTCCTCATGACAAATTAGTGTACCAAAATAAATTTCATAATTTTTGGAGTTATACAGTGGCCTACAAAAGTTATGGAAATTGCATTTATTAATTAATTGACTGAATTTTTGAACATTAAAAATTTATTCAAATTTCAAGTTTCATATTTTTAAACCATAATAGAACATGTACAGAAGCTACACACAAATTTTTAGAATTTGTAGAGCTGTAATTATTTTCCTATAAATTTCGAAAGTTGCTACACTATTGAAAATCCAGAAAATACAAAATCCCTCTGTTCTCTCCCTCTTCTCTCACTGACAGCCAGGGCCTACATGTCAGCGGCACCAACAGGGCTCGGCGGCGCTGATCGGCTGATTCCCACACCGACGGCGAGGCCTCCGGCCCCGAGCTCTACACCTACACGCTCTACGCGACCTGGCGGACACGCTGGTGACCCTAACGTGGCAGCGAAGGTACCGGAGCTAGTTCATCGACGGTCATGGCGGCTCGGCGGCAGCGGTGACACAGTGGCAGTGGCCACCGAAGTATCTCTGGCGACGGTGAGATCACCTACAGCTTCTACGCACACAGGCGAACGTAACTGAGCAGCTGAAGCACCAAAAAGCAGCCCCCAGCGGCTAGGCTTCGTGCAAAGCGGCGGTATCGAGCGAAGTTCGCCGGCGAGCATGCGGACAGACGTCAATGGCATGGTAGCGACTAAACGGGCAGCACAGTCGTGATCAGAGACTCACCACGATGCTCGGACGCTATCTGGTTGAAGGAGAAACCGACTGGAGGGCTCTGGCCACGGCGCGACCGAGCTCGGCGGCGCACTGACCGGGCGCGAGGAAGACGACGTTGCACGGCCCACTCCGACGCGACAAGGTGCTGTGGCTGGCTCTTACAGGTGCACAAGGGAAAGGCAGAACTTGTGGCGTGGCCAATTTGGGCAGGGGACGCGGCGCTGAGGCAGCGGCGAGCGGCGGAGCACGACGGCGGCGGTGGTGGCGAAACAGAGGAGAGAAAGAAAAGCAGACGACGGTGTCGAAGCTTTATAGCGCGGCCAAGAGAGCGAGGGAACGATACGCAGCGACCATCCCGTGCCAGCGCGAAGCCAAGGGCGGCCATGGGCGCGTCTAGAAGGCCGGAGAAAGGACGCCGGCGGTGGGAAGGTGGTCGTGCTACTGTTTAGAAGAATTACAGAATTGCCACTGAGTTTATTTTGCAAATTACTCGCAATTTTTCTAAAGTTGAAAATCTCCAAAAATGAAAGTTGCTCAACTTTTCAAGCTCTACAACTTTGCTTTAATGAACATTTTCAAATTCTGCCTCCATTTTAAAATTTGAATTTGGGGTGTATTTGAGCATTTGAATCATTTCAAAATTACTCCAAATTTTATATGTAAACTTTAAAAACTTTGAATACCAAAGTTGATCCTTATAAAATAAGCTTCAACTTTGCTTTTTGTCACACTCCCAAATTCCAAATGGATTTTGAAATAGACAAAAGGGGCAAAAAGGACTTTTATAATTTGAATTTGAATTCAATTTGATTTGTTTCCCTTTTTACTTAATTATGATTTTTGACCAATTACATGGCCCATTAGGGTTATTTGAGTCAAATGACACATGGTATCACATGATCACATGAAATTTGACCCTTGTGATAATGATTTTCATTCAGAGTTTTGAATCACATTACATCACATAAAATAACAACTATCAATAAAGCTTATTTAGTGAATGCATTCAAAATTCTCTACTTTATGAATGCTTTGCAATGCACATGATGACATGTCAAGTTTTAGTTCTAGGTCAAAACACCAGAGGTGTTACAACCCTTCCCCCTTAAAAAAATCTCGTCCCGAGATTTAAAACTTAGGACTAAGTATTGGAAAAGGAAATGTGTCAAGCTAACACATCATAACTTTATTCAAAAGGCTAGTTAGGGGGTTTTCCATTCTTTTGACAACAGAAACAAGTTACAACATAGTCAAGGTATTGCAACTAGATAGAAGCAAAGAAGTCAGGAAAGTTTTCTTCTAAGTAATCCTCAGACTCCCAAGTAGCTTCATCTTTAGTGTGTTGATTCCATTGTACTTTATAGAACTTGATGG